GGTATGTGCGCCGTTGATTAGCGTCTGAAGTCGGTGCATCCCAAGTAGGATAGACCTTTTGGATTTTCCGGCTCGAGATCTCAGGGATAGGCCCAGGAAACTCATTACACTTTGTGTGGAGAGAACTGCGTTGCGTGTCTGTCCTTCGCTCACGGCCAAGATGTCCAATTCCATCGTGGAGCAGCACAACGAGGGATTGGGGATTCCATTTCGGTTAAGCAGTCTCGGGCCGAAAATATTGTTCAACAACGGCAGCGCATTCCACTGTATGTAGGTTTATTTTGTATTAGAGGAGCAAAATGACACGTACACTTCACATCAGTCCCACAGCAGCAGCAGCAGCAGCAGCAGATGCAGGGTTACTATGGGGGCATGCAATTACCCTGTTTGGCTCCAGTCTGCGTACTTCACTGCATTCGGCTAAGCGGACGTGCTAGCCACCGCCCGTGTGGCATATGACGAGACACACCATCGAGAAGAGTCGTGTGGAGCCTGTGTATGATGTACACACAATTCAAAGAAAAAGCGAGGATGAAAAAGGATTCTATAAGGATATATTGAAAATACTTATGCGAACCGGACTACGCGGCGCAAAAAAAAAGTCCACCAACTTCACCACAAACAAATGCAGCAAGAAAAAAAAGGAAAAGTACACGACACATACATACAAACACACGCACGCAGAGGAGACTATTGGCAAGATTGGACGACGACGACGGATGGTGACGAAGACGCGCGGTAGGGGTCGGGACGTACATGGCTACCTACTTATTTCTAAAAATCTCATGCTGGCTTTTTTCATCAAGACCTTTCTGCTTGCTTTCCTGACTGCCTGCCGGCCAGAATCGTGTCCTCCCGCACTCACTCGGGAGGCGGGAGGTATGTTGCAGGCAAAACCCTCATTCGCGCATACATCCGTGGCAAATTCGATGCGGATCGAAGGATACACGGACGGAGTAGGAAAATGAAAATGAGAACTACTATAGGTGATGGTGGTGGTGGAAGTGGCAAGAAGCAAAGAAAGGGAAAAATGAAAAAGAACACTGCCGCTGCGAGATGGATGAATATCGCAGTTTTGTATTTGAAAAAACGGACACGACAAGCAGGGCAGAAAGTACACGTCACACATCGTCCGTCGTCCTCACCGTCGTCTCGGGTTTGAAGTCCTTTTGATTGTAAGTGATGCCTACACTTTGGGGGGAAAGCGGGTAGGGATGTCACAGGGTCTTAGTACTTTGGATGAGTGATTTTTGATTTGAGACATCACAAAATAATAGCTTAGTTCTTTAATTCAGTTTGAAATGTAATTATTTTAATTAATAATAATTAATTCTGCCAATTCCAAAAATTTAAGTTGTCTAAATATCAAAGGTTCCGGTCATTTCTGGTTTATGGCACTATTTCTGTCTGGCCGTTAGGTAGAATGGTCATTAGCCCAGACATAAAACAAATAATTGACGAGCTTCCTTACGCAGTTATAATTTAAAGATTTTAAATACTTAGATATTTGTTCTAACAATATCGACGTTCCAGCGTCTTGGTGGTGGTTTTTCTTAATCCAGAATAATGAAACTTTGTGAACATTAATTCTCAAAATTAATAAATTTATTGAATTTTTGCAAATCCTGTATCCGATTATTTCTTTTTTTTTCAATATCTATAAAACAAATTCTATACCACTGGAAATATTTACAGGATTTCTTCCGTATTTTCTTGAGAATTTACTTGAATCATCTCAGAATACCCTCCGAGTTTATCTTATACCTCTTTCTGGGATTTTCTTATAATTTGCCCCATAATACTCTTAAAAATCATCTGCAGAACACTATTTATTGTTTTATTGGGTATCAAGCTGGAGCTGCGTGACAGCTTAGTTTTCAAGACTTGTCCCATTTGAATAAATTTTGCTTCCATCTCCGCTTGAACACTGTATTGTTTCAAGATAGTTATAGAAAAAATGCTGTGACGTGTGCGCGTAGATACATCCGCGTAGTAAACCGATTGAATAAGTAAATCTGTTTCGAACAAAATATCTGAACTATGTAAGTTACGAAAACCGCGCGAATTCCGAAAGCCGTGCGAGACAACCAAAGCGAGAAAAAAGGCTTATTATTATTTAAAGAGTGCCACCAAAATAAATGTGATAGCCTATGTTGGCAAGTTGATCAATTTTGGTTTCCTCCCTACATATTCTACGTATTTTACTGTTGAGCTTTGTTTCAATTTAGTTACCGCACGTATCAATCATGTCAAGATTTCGCGACCGTACCGAACAATCTATACTACAGAAGCTCAAAAAAACTTTTGGTGAGCTCTACCGCATTGCGAATCACTTCTGCGTAAGCTCCGTAGACGTAGGCGCGTTGATTCCTACAGCCGCGAAAAGGTAAACATGCATCAATACCACATAAGGAAAGATCAATTTAACGTAGGTTTTAGTTCATAGATTAACATTGACTGCTGTTTACAAATATTAGTACTTGAACACTAAGAAATAATTTAATTCAATTGCTTTAACCGCATATATAAGAGATTTCGCGTATTGAGAGAATAATATACAGTGGTGACCCGATTTTGTCAGCCCCCGATTTTGTCTACCTCCGATTTTGTCAGCCTATATGATTCAATTAGTTTTGGTTGAGGTGGACTGTTTTGTACAGTCGTATTCGTATTTTATTGATTGTCGAGCTCAATAATGACATTTTTCGAGAAGTAAATGTGCAGTGGTGGCAAGATCAAAGCAGGGGGGAGGGGGTTGAGGGGCTAGTTGAAAATTATGTACGTTATGTATGTTTTTTTATAGTAAGGAAAGCTTCAAAAGCCCGGCCTGTTACTGTGTTGCGTGTTTGTTCTCCTTTTGGCACTATCCCCCCGGAACTCCCGTAGAGTATTTCAAAGGGGGGGGGGGGCTGTGCTCAAGCACATCTCTTTAGCTCAGCTAGCCGGCGTTTCTAACTCGCTGATCATCTCTCCATTTTCGCTGCAGCTCCGACAAAATTTGCGTCACTGCCCTGCTGACGGCGCTCCACGTCCTCTCATCCCGGCACATTTCATTGACGACATTTCTCGCGCTAAGGGCGGCATCTCCACTCGCACTGCCTCAAATCTTGGGCAGTCGAAAACCATGTGCTCCGGCGTTTCGTCCACGTTGCCACACACCGGACAGAGGGGTGATGTTGTGTGTCCATGCAGGTACTTCCTGAAGCAGCCATGACCAGACAGGAATTGCGTCAAATGGAAGTTGACTTCTCCATGCTTCCTGTTCACCCAGGTCGAAAGAATCGGTATTAGCCTGTGTGTTCATCTACCGTTCTCCGCTGCATCGCACTCCTGTTGCCACTTAGCCATCGACTCCGTTCTCACGAATGTCCGTACTCCTCTGGTATCTCTTCGCATATAGCATTCGGTGTCCTCCGCCAAGGTGATGACGATGGGTATCATACCGGCGATAACGCACACTGCTTCCGTCGAAATTGTTCTGTACGCACTCACGACTCGCATGGCCATGAGGCGGAACGTACTGTTCAATTTTCTTTGGTTCTTCTTCGTTTTTAGCACTACATCAAAGGCTAGACCTCCATACCTCAATATCGATGATAGCCAGAAGACGCCTCTTGCTGCTGCTTGGTCCAGAGTTGTTCGGTATGATTCTAGCTATCGCATTGATGGCCTTCACCGCCTTCTCACATGCGTAGTCGACGTGGCTATTGAAGCTTAGTCGGTCATCGAGTATCACTCCAAGATACTGCAGCACGCGCTTTGATGCTATGGCGTTCTCCCCGACGGTAATTTCTGATCGCTGAACAGCTTTACAGTTACTGACCAATAGCACTTCCGTTTTGTGGTGGGCTAATCTGCAACTTCGCTCCTTGCATCCAGTTGGAAACCGTGTCGATCGCCTCGGTTGCCAGCATTTCCACCTCTTCCAACGTCTCGCCTACTACCGCCAACACGACGTCGTCCGCAAATCCTACGATCTCGACTCCTTTGGGCAGCTTCAGCGTTAGCAAAGGATGGAGCCTTGCGGCACACCCGCCGTGATCCGGATTGATTTCTCTCCCATGTCCGTCTCGTAGACTAGAACCCGGTTCTGGAAGTAACTCCTTATAATGCTACACAGGGAATCAGGAACCCTCATTCCATGCAGTGCTTCGGCGATGGCCTCCCAGCTGACACTGTTGAATGCGTTATTCACGTCGATCGTTATCACGGCGCAATATCGATCTCCTCTCCGCTTCTTTTTAGACGCTTTCTCGGCACTCTCGACCATTGTCCGAATTGCATCCACCGTTGATCTCCCTTTCCGGAATCCGAACTGCCTCACCGACAATCCATGCTCACTCTCCGTGCATTTCGTTAGCCTGTTGCGGATCTTCTTCTTCAATAGCTTTCCGACTGTATCCAGCAAGCATATAGGCCTATACGATGCTGGATCTCCCGGCGGCTTTCTGGGTTTTGGCAGCCGCACTAGCTTCTGTACCTTCCATCGGTCCGGGAAGTGACCTTCATCCAGACACTTCTGCAGCACTATCCTGAACATGTCCGGGAACGCCTGGATCGCCGCCTTCAACACCACGTTGGGGATTCCATCCGGACCGGGAGCTTTCTTCGTCTTCAGCCCTTTCGCCACTGCTACGAGTTCCTCGTTGGAGACTTGTCTACCTTCGGTGTTGTCTGCCTCTGCCTCGCCGTACGGTGTAGGTGGCTAGGTCATTTGGTCGTGCTTCGGGAAAAGTCCCTCCACGATGACTTTCAGCTTGTCTGGGCACATTTCAACGGGCGTCGTTGGACCTCTGATCTTCGCCATCGTGACTCGGTATGCGTCACCCCAGGGGTTGGCATCAGCGTCTCGGCTCAACTCCTTGAAGCAGTTTGGCTTTATCTCCTGTTTTAGAGCGGCCTTGGCTGCTCGAAACCCCACCCTTCGCTCTGCTCTGTCTGCACCAGTTCTTGCCCGCTGAACGCACCTTCTGGTTCGGAGACAACTAGCGCGGAGGGTGCTAAGTGCCTCGTTCCACCAGTAAGCTGGGCGCCGTCTGTTCCTTGGCTCCGATTTCCTCGGCATGGTTGTGTCGCATGCCCTCGTTAACGATTCGGTCAATTCGTCCGCGCTTTGGTCTGGGACGCGTCTGTCTACCCGGAGAGCTTCTACAAAGAGATCCTTGTCGAATGCCTTCGTCTTCCACCTCCACTTGCTTACTTTCGTTTTCGTCGATAATGGATTCCCTACCATCTTTGCGGAAGGTGCTGATGGTTCCTTCGTTGGCCAGACTGACGTCTAACTTTGCCAGAGCTTCCAGCAGGCTATACCCTCTTGCGTTGGTACATCTGCTTCCCCAGTCCACTGCCCCAGCATTGAAAAATTCCTTCTTCTTGACTTCCTTCTTCCTCTCTTCCTTCTTCTTCTTCTTCTTCTTCTCTTCCTCTTCATGTTTCTTTCCCTTCACCTCCTTCTTCTTCTGTTCCTTCGTCCTTTGTTCCTCTTCCTTCAGTTTTTTTCCTCTTCTCCTTCTGGTTTTCGACTTTACGCCAATCACTTTCTTCTCCATCTTCTTGCTCATTGTCCCTGTATTCGTCGTCCTTGTGTTTTTGGGGTCCTCTTTGTCTCCTGGCGTTTCTCTATCTCTTTTCTCCAGACGTGGATTCGTTGGTCCCTTCGGCGTCTCCTGCGCTTCAGCCAGCTTTGCATTCTCCTTGGCCTCAAACAGAGCCTTTTCGGCCGCTTCGGCTCTTCTTTTCCATTCTTGCAGTTCCCGATCTGCCACAGCTATGCCGGCGCTAGTAGCTTGAC